GAGAGGAATGGGATTTACTAATCAGGTCTATTCTAGGATTGTTTGGGTACTAAACAGCAGTTGGGTGAATGCATGATTACTAATGCAAGTGTAATGTCTGTCGGCTTCCAGAGAGAAGACAGGCTAATTTTGAAGGAGATGAAAGTGTGGATAGAGCAATTTGAAAGAGATTTGATGAGGGCACAGATGACAGAATCAAATTTGCAGGATAAATATCAGGTAATGTATAGAAAAGAGATTTTGCTTTTTCCAAAGCTTTGCATGAGTAAGTTCCATATATGTGCTTTAGTATATGTTTAATCTTTCAAATGATATTAATACATAAAGTCTATAAAGAAATAATAAGCTTGTATGCAATTTAATAATTGTATTTCTATCTAAATGTGTAGTTTTAAATTGTAACATGTCCATAGAGTAAATAGCCTTCTGAGATGGCACCACTTTTACAGAATTCAGCCTTCTGGGTGGCCCAGAGCACAAACATCTAGTCATTGTTTTTGTAGAACTCATGATCTTGTAGATGTCACAAAGCACAAAATTTCACAACACAAAAATACTTAAAAGTCAAAATGCGTATTACTATAGAACAAGCTGAATTTAATAAACATGAACATGAACATTTGTAGTGGGCCCATTGATGAGATCAATTTCTACTACAACCCACTTAGTTCACTACTCTTGCATCAAATTGACGCCAGGGTTTTTGTTTTGCCTCCCAGTTTCATTACACATGCCATTGATTGGATTTTCACTTTCAAGACATAAAAATCTTATAACAACGTTTTCCCATTAAAAAGTTGTCATATATTCTGTGCAGCCCTGGCATTTCCCCCCTATTTAAAATATCATTGCATTTTAGTGGAAATGTATGGTGTGTTCTACTCTACATTTTATGTCTATTATTTTTGCTACAGAAAAAGGGAACAGTGATGTGAGAGATTCAACATGGCAGACACAGATTTCACTATGGACTTAGATATGATTTTGCTATGCTGTGTGCTTGAATGTGAATCGGTGATAACCTCAATGTTATGTTTATTGAAGTTGGCAAATCTGTAAATATATACTTACACATACATACACTTTTGCTTTGAAACTTGTAATTATTACAAAAAAATACATTTTTGGGGGATTGAACTCCATTAAAAATAATTAAATCAGTAAATTGAAAGTGGAAATGCCAGAAGAGAGTGAATATACTTTTTTTAGTGCACAGGTAATTTTTTTTTTTTTTTCATGAATTAACAAAAAATAATTTCCAAGCTATAAAGTGAGCTTTTGTATAGGTATTATTTTAAATGAACAGAACAAGGACTAGTACAAAATAGAAACTGTCTTTTAAGCCAAGGGTAATCACAAATCTCTTAAAACAGAGTTAGAGACCTTGTAACACCTGAAAACATTTTCTTTCATCTGTGTGTCTATTATATAGACAACATTTTCTGTATGCTTATATGTATCTACCAAGAGAGTATTTTCCATGCGTGGGGCTCTGGAATACAACTGAAGATTGATTTTATGTTTGTTTTTTTAAAAACATTACATTAACTTGGAATGGGAGGTAGAAACTGTGGTAAAATTGTTACTCACCATCTCCCCCCAGTGTTCTTCATGTGAGTTACATGCTTATTCACTTCATGGCTTGGAAGTTCTTTCACTGATGTTACCTGCTAGATGCCGTAGTGCCATTTTCCTGGTCTTTAATGTAATTGCACATTTTCATGATCTTTTCTATTCATATTTGGATCTAGAGTCATATTTTAAGATGTAACACTTTGGTGTATAATGTAGAACATTAACTAAAGGAACTCCTTTTAAGGCTAGTATCAGGCTCATAGTTGAGTGTACATATGTTGCATTTATTTTAGTCATACTCTGGCAAATGATGTAGTACTTAATATTTTTATACCATAAAATTAAAGCAAATGATTATTATGTAAATGAAATCTCCTAAAGTAAACCTCTTTATTCAGGCTTGAATGAAAATTTAGAAATATTTAATTCAGTATTATTTTAACATATGCAATTTCTGTTTATGAATTATTTAGTATTTTGAAGCAGAGCAGCTATCTTGATTATGAGTATAGATTTATACTTGTGTTTAATGTCATTTCCTGGAGTACTTTGGCTGGCATGTAAAATATTTAACGGAAAATGAGAAAACCTAGGCTGTAGTCCTGCACCTACTGTTTGTCCTTGCCAAGCTGCCTCTGGGGTTCAATATCCTCACCCGTGGTACAGTAGTAATAATAGTCCCATATGTCTCTGTTGTTGGCTTATGGAGAGAGCCAGAGGAGAGCCCATGTGGAAAGCACCTAGCCTGGGGCGAGGCTTAGATGCATAGGCAGGTTCCATGAATGACAGCTGTTATCAGGATTAGAATGGTCTCATTGTCATCATCATAGTGTCTATGGAGTGCTATCCAAATAGAAAGGGTTATTTAGGAAATGGGGTTTCCTCTGGTTTTGCTTTTTCTGACTCATTGCCATATTGTTGCCATTTTTCTACTGCAGTCATTTAAGCACTTCAGAGTTCAGTATGAAATGAAGAGGAAACAGATTGAACATTTGATACAGCCACTGCACAGAGATGGCAAATTGTCACTTGACCAAGCATTGGTGAAACAAGCCTGGGATAGAGTGTCCTCCAGGGTGAGTTCTGCCACTATGAATTTCATTAAGGCGCAAGTAATTTAGTCAAGAACCTCTTTCATCATCATTTTCTACACAGTAATGTTGCAACAGGCCCTACTGCCTCAGCCTGACGTTGAGCAGACTTGGCTGGGGAGAATCGTTGCCTTCTGGTCAAGCTTTCCTCTGAATTAGTGGAAGTGGTTGATTTAACAACACTTTCCTGCCCTGCCTGCCACGTGGGTAGTATCTCCCATTGGCTAGATGATAGATTGAAATCCTATCTAGTTTACTTCTCATTTTTCACAACTTAATTCTGGGTTGTTTGGAAGACGTGGCTCCTTTATAGACAGTCTTCAGAAACCACGCCTCAAAACTTCTCCAGATTCTGTAATGATGTTTCATCTGCCCAACAGACAATAATCTTCTGATATTTACCAACCCATAACCCATTGCCATTGAGTCAATTCCAACTCATAGCAAATTTATGGGACAGAGTAGAACTGCCTAACAGAGTTGCCAAGGCTATAAATCTTTATGGAAACAGACTGCCTCCTCCTTCTCCTGTGGAATTGCTGGCAGGTTTGAACCACTGACCTTTGGGTTAGCAGGCTTTAACCACTGTGCCACCAGAGTCCTTTCTGATACTTATAAACAATTTTATATTTAATTTATCTGATCTTTCAGGAACGTAAAGGAAACCTGTGCAGTATCTTTCATACTAATATTCTTCACATTTAAAAACCAAGATTGCAGAACACATGAAACTCTTCAGTCACTACCAGGAATCTTTGTCTTGAATTTACAATTTTTTTCATTTTGATCATCTCTTTGTGTCTGGACCTCCTCTGATCCCCTGGAAGGTCTGTCAGTGATCCTCACTCTCAGACCAGCATCCCCATCAGCTAGGGTACCACTGCTGTGTCCTTGAGCGTGTCAGCAAACCCAGCCTGTCCATTTCGGCAAAAGCAAGACTGAAAATGCTTAGACAAAAATTTTTTGAACTCCTAATCATATGTTTCTTTAGCTAAGATGGAGGCTCTAGGTAGTGCAAACATTTCACACATTTTGCTGCTTCAAAAGGTCAGAGGTTGAAGATTGGATCCCTTCCAGAGATGCCTTGGAAGAAAGAGCTGGCAATCTACTCTGAATAAACCAGCCATTGAAAAATGCTATGGAGCAAGTCCTGCTCTGACACCTGGGGTCACCATGAGTCATAATCAGCTCGATGGCAACTCGTGGTATAGCTAAGATGTATTTTGAGTTTCCTCACAATTTGCATGTAATTTTCTCCACGTCCCACCAGCCACTCCTTGGAAGGAAGGTGGGGGAATCTACTTCTGTAGTGATATTGCCTCGGAAGCCCAAGGAGGGGTCACTATGAGTCAGGTCCAACTCGACGGCACATAACAACAACAATAACAACAACCCAAAAGCATCCTATGCAGAACATAGATATTTGTTTTCTGGATTTTTATTCAATTAGTCTAAAATCATTAACTTAATGCCTCATTTAGACTTTAACATAATGTGGGGGGATTTTAGGAATTGGCTTCCATACTTGAGGTATTTTTCTACTTTTTTATTTCAGCTCTTCGATTGGCACATCCAGCTTGATAAGTCTCTACCTGCGCCTCTGGGTACTATAGGTGCCTGGCTGTACAGAGCAGAGGTGGCCCTGAGAGAGGAGTTAACCATTCAGCAGGTCCATGAGGAGACGGCAAACACCATACAGCGGAAACTGGAGCAGCACAAGGTAAAAATTCTGGCTGGAAGACTTCCCGGCATAGCAGTCATTGTGTGACCTGGCACTGTGGTCGCCCCAGGACTCCCAGGGACACTGGCCTGTCACACTTACATCCATATATGACTAGAGACATCACAGCTTTTCAAGAGTTCTTTGATTGGCACTTCCCTTTAATATATCTTTTTAAATACCAGCTCCAGTAGGTGGATTTCCTGGGCTATTTTCCCATAACTCTGGAGCTGTCTTTGTTATTTCTGTTGCTGCCTGTTATTGCTGAAAGAGAAGCCCAAAGGTAACATGCATTCACATGATAATGTGATTATCAGTTAGCTCCTGACCTCATCCCTGCCCCTATTCTCAGAGAAAGGCAGGCTAAAGTTCTTATTCTCTGTTGAGGTGGAGGGAAGGTGGACATGGCGGGAGTGGTGGTGGTATGAAGTGGTGGGTTTAGGCTTTGCTGGCCTCTTGGTAATTTTTTTTGTTTTGTTTTTACCTTTTTTTTAGCTTATTTCATGGTCAGTTGAGTATGGCATAAGTTCCAATATACTTCCCTTTCTGTGTTTTGTCATAGGACAGACCTAACTAAAGGTAGTATTTTTCATGACCTTCACAATGACATAATCCTGCATTTTATGGAATTGAAAGTTTGTACCCCAACTGCCCACCACTCATTTGTCAGTTTATTGTGCTGTGGTGGTGTGCATACTTCAGTAATGCTGGGAGCTACGCCACTGGTATTTCAAATACAGCAGGGTCACCTGTGGTGGATGGGTTTTAGTGGACCTTCCAGACTAAGACAGAGCAGGAAGATGGAAGAGGCAGTTGATTTCTGAAAAACATTAGCCACAGAAAACCTTATGAATAGCAGTGAAAATGCTGTTCTGTCAGATCTAGTGCCAGAATATGAGGCCCTCAGGTTGCAAAGCACTCAAAATACCACTGGGAAAGAGCTGCCTCCTCAAAGTAGAGGTGACCTTAAAGATTTGGATGGAGTAAAGCTTTTGTGACCTTCATTTGCTGATGTGACATGACTCAAATTGAGAAGAAATAACTGCAAACATCATTAATAATTGGGACATGTAAAGTACAAAGTATGAATCTAGGAAAATTGCGAGTTGTCAGAAATGAAATAGAATGCATAAAGATCAGTATCCTAGGCATGAGTGAGCCATTTTGAATTAGACAATCATATGGTGACAGTCACTATGCTGAGAATGATAAATTAAAGAGGAATGGTGTCTCATTCTTTGTCAAAAAGAACATTTCAAGATCTGATGTACAATATTGTCAGTGATAGGATAATATCCATACACCCACAAGGAAGACCAGTTAATACTACTGTTATTCAAATTTATGTACCAACCACCAAAGCCAAAGATGAAGAAATTGAAGATTTTTACTAACTTCTCCAGTCTGAATGTGACCAAACATGTAATCAAGATGCATTGATAATTACTGGTGACTGAAATGTGAAAGTTGGAAACAAAGAAGGATCAATAGTTGGAAATTATTGCCTTGGTAAAAGAAATGATGACATGATATAATTTTTTAACACCAAAGACTTATTCATTGCATATACCTTTTTTCAACAACATAATGGTGACTATACATGTGGACCTTGCCAGATGGAATGAATAAGAATCAAATCAACTACCTCTGTGGAAAGAGATGATGTAGGTGTTCAATGTCATCAGTCAGAACAAGGCTAGGAGCCTACCCTGGAACAGACCATAATTGCTTATATGGAAACTTAAGTTGAAGCTGAAGAAAATTAAAATAATTCCACAAGAACCAAAATACAACCTTGAGTATATCCCACCCGAATTTAGAGACCATTGGAAGCATAGATTTGATGCATTGAACACCAGTGATTGAAGACCAAATGAGTTGTGGGATGACATCAAGAACATCACACATGAAGAAAGCAAAAAGTCATTAAAGAGACAGGAAAGAAACAAAGACCAAATGGATGTCAGAAGTCACTCTGAAACTTGCTCTTTAATGGAGAGTAGCTAAAGCAAATGGAAGAAATAATGAAGTAAAAGATCTGAACAGAAGATTTCACAGGGTGGCTTGAAAAGACAAAGTAAACTGTTATGGTGAATTGTGCAAAGACCTAGAGTTAGAAAATCAAAAGGGAAGAACACACTCAGCATTTCTCAAGCTGAAAGAACTGGGGGAAACAAACAAACAAGCAAACAAACAAACAAACAAAAAACACATTGAGCCTCCAGCTGTGATATTAAAGGATTCTATGGGCAAAATATTGAACATTGCAGGAGCCATCAAATGAAGATAGAAGGATACATAAAGCAACTGTACCAAAAAGAATTGGGTTAATGTTCAACTGTTTCAGGAGGTTGCATATGATCAAGAACCTATGGTATTGAAAGAAGAAGTCAAAGATGCACTGAAAGAATTGGCAAAAACGAGGCTCCAGGAATTGACAGAACATCCATTAAGATGTTTCAACAAATGGATGCAACACTGGAAGCACTCAGTTCCCTATGCCAAGAAATTTGGAAGACAGCTATCTGGTAAACCTACCAGAAGAGCTCCATATTTGTACCCATTCCAAAGAAGGATGATCCCATAGAATTTGGAAATTACTGAACAATATCATTTTCTCATGCAAGTAAAATTATGCTGAAAATAACTCAAAAGAGTTGCAGCAGTACTTCAATAGGAAGCTACCAGAAATTCAAGCTGAATTCAAAAGACTACATGGAACAAGAGATATCATTGCTGATGTCAGATGGATCTTGGCTGAAAGCAAAGAATACCAGAAAGATGTTTACCTGTGTTTTAGTTATATGCAAAGGCAGTTGAATGTATGGATCATAACAAATTATGGATAACATTGTTAAGAGGGGGTATTCCAGGACACTTAATTATGCTCATGAGGAACCCGCACATAGACCAAGAGGCAATTGTTTGAATGGAACAAGAGAATACTGCATGGTTTAAAATCAGTAAAGGTGTGTGTCAGAGTTGTTTCCTTTACCCTACTTGTTCAATCTGTATGCTGAGCAACTAATCTGAGAAGCTGGAGTATATGCTGAAGAGTGCAGCATCAGGATTGGAGGAAAACTCATTAACAACCTGCAATATGCAGATGACACATTCTTGCTTGCTGAAAGTAATGAGGCTTGAAGCACTTACTGATGAAGATCAAATACTACAGTATGGATTGACTATGAATTATACCTCAACATAAAAACGAAAATCTTCATGACTGGACCAATAGTGACATGATTAATGAAGAAAAGGTTGAAGTTGTAAAGGATTTCATTTTACTTGGATCCACAATAAATGCCCATGGAAAGAGCAGTCAGTAAATCAAATGATGTATTCCAGTGGGCAAATGGGTTGCAAAAGACCTCTTTTAAGTGTTAAAGAGCTAAGATGTCACTTGGAAGCTAAGATTCACCTGGCCCAAACCATGGTATTTCTAATAGCCTCATATGTGTGTGAAAGCTGGACAAAGAATAGGAATACTGTAAGATAACTGATGCATTTGAGTTGTGGTATTGGCAAAGAATAGTGAATGTACCATGGACTGCTAGAACAACAACAGAAAAATCTGTCTTGGAGGAAGTATGCCTTGGAAGTGAGGATGAAGAGACTTAACCTCTTATACTTTGGCCATGTTATCAGAAGGGACCAGTCCTTGGAGAAGGACATCATGCTTGGTAAAGTAGTAGTTGTTGTTGTTGTTATGTGCCATCGAGTCAAACCCGACTCATGGCGACCCCTCCTTGGGTTTCCGAGGCAGTATCACTACAGAAGTAGGATTG